ACTTTTATATGGATATTTTAAATTTGGGTGTCAATTATTTATGAATTTAACTTGATTTTTGTGAAGAATTTTAATTATGAAATTATTGTGAGACAAATTGGATTATGAGGAATTGCATGGTTGATGATTATAAATGACAATATTGTTTTAAAACTTGATTTTGGGAATGCACCCATGGTGCTCGATAAAATGGGTGATAGGGTGTGTGTGTGTACAAGTTTAGTTACATATGTACTTGAGAAGAGTTGGATAGAAAAAAAATAGTGTTGGATAAAAAGGTGTATATATAAATTGTAGCAGAAATTGAATGAATGAAATTGAATAGAAAGAAGCTTGATATTAATTTGAGGATTAATGCCTGTGAGGCATTCAATGAAATGTCTAGTCACGTTCAAGGCGTGACTAGCACAAAATATAAAAACAAAACCTATATTCAAAAAGCCTTAACTTAGGGATGGGATTTTTTTTTCTCATGGACACATTGGGATGAGATTAGACTGCTGTCTATGTGAGTCATATAGCAAAAGCTTTAATAATTTTGTAGAAATTTTGATAGAACCTTCTTCAAAAATAGGACCTCTCGAAAATTTTACAATAATAGTTCTCAGTACAAAATAGCATCAATAAGGAGTGCTAGCCCTACTCCTTCTAATAGACAAATCATGCATAACACATATATAAGGGTTCTAACTATAGTTACGTGAAGCGCCAAGAATAAAATTTATAAAACATAAGTGCAAAATTTAAATTTTGACATCAATAATTCCTTCACTTCAAGTCAAAAGGTAGCTTCTCAATTGTTAGTTGGAGATACATTGTCAGCTATAATATCTAAGACCAAAAATAATTTTCTAATGAATAACGTCTTAACAATGATAAAATTTAAAAGAATAAATTGAATACTCAAGCAATTATGTAAATAATTGGAAAAAAAATAGTTGAATAAAATATACTCACTTAATCTTGGAATCAAAATCATAAACCATTAAATTTAAAATAACAAAACAATCTTATCATTTGATCTTGAGAAATCAATAAATTGAATAAATAAAATAAATAAAAATAGAAACATTTACTAAATAAAACCAATGAAGTATAAATTTCACGAATTATTTAAAAGCTAATATTTTGAGGGCTTTACAGAACAGATAACAAACATTGATACACAATCCATGAGGATAAATAATCAAATGCAGCCTACGCCACAAAGACAAACATGGATACACAGTCAATAAGGTTAAGTAACTAAACGTAACTCGAAACCACAAAAATAAATATGGACTCACAGTCCACGAGGATAATACTAATCGAATACACCTCAAAACCACGAAAACAAATGCAGGAGTTAGACCCGTGAATAAAAAAATGTGAGAATAGAGCTCATGAAATCAAGCTAGCTAATCATTAACCATGACACGCTAAGAGCTAACGGAACTGCCGTTAGCAACCAATGTTCTGTGTTTAGTCCTCTTTTAAAATCAACTTTCAAACATGCATGGAAATTTGCATAACAAACATTTTATAATTTTAGTAACAATTACATGTATGACTTTATCAAATAAAATTCATTTCAACTTGTAATAACCTTGACAATTTTTTTTAATAACAACATATGTTAATTTGCTTAAAGTGTGTTTTATATTAGTTCTTGGGATAAATATGACAAGTTAGAGAGTTGATATGGTGGCAGCTGAGTAGGTATTTATGCCTCAGGTCCTAAGCTCGAATCTGAAAGAGGCCAGAGGAGCTAATTGTTTTCTTTTTGCTATGTAAAATTACCAAATTTCCCTTCTCCCATTATGATATAATTCCTTCTCTTTTCCTTTCTCCAGCAGATCGGTGCGTGAGTCAAGACAGCTGTAGATTTCACCAGAAACTTCGAACCCTTTTTGTCCAGCCCTTCATCCATTATCGTCATCCCTGTCATTAAACCACTCGCTGGTGACCTTAAAAATGCTAGAAAATCCACCATAGGAGATGTTCATTGACTGGTTGTTCTCCCCTATTTTTACTTCATTCTCCCTTACCTTGCTATCCGTGAACTGTGCAAAAGTTCCAAGCTTCTACATTGTTTTTGTTTTATTCATCTCAGGTGTTGTGAGTTCGCCGGAAGTCTCTTGCTCTTCTCGCCTTGGAGTCGTGCAATAGACCTCCTTTCTTCTTCTTCTTCCTTTCAGCTCGTTATACAGAGCTGTGACTCATCTTGCTTCCTTGTTCGGTCTCGGTTGAGTGAGGTACAAATTATGAGATTTTTTTTCTGTTGCTATTGTCAAGTTTCTCAACTATGTTCTTAATTTGTTATGCTTCCTTCTACTTGATTCTGATTTTTGCTCTATTTTCTCAAATTTCATTCACATGTTGCTAATGAATGGAAGAAATCAGCTCGCTGGAAATTGATGGATTTTCTTCTCTTCACTTTCTTTTAAATAGAGCTTCATTTTTCCTCTTGCTCAACTGTAAATTTCATTTTCCTCCTCTCCTGCTGTATGTCATTGGCTCGTTTGAGGTGAAAAGTCTTGATCTCTTCTCTCTTTCTTCTCTTTACTTTCTTTAAATAGTTGACTATGGGATTGTTAATATTGGAAAAGAGTTTAATACGCTTGAATAAATGTCATTAAATTGTCTTTTTATACTGTATAGGGTGTTTAGAGGAAGGAAAAATTCATTGAAGTGTTATAGAGTGAATTTTGTAGTTGGAAACATTACAAGTAAGTGGATAGCGTCCTAACTAATTTATCAATAACATTCTTTTACCAAAATTTTTTTACATAGATCATTTAATAACAATTATATTAAGTATTTAATACTTTGTTAATTAAATTATTTTGTTTTGGGAAATTATAAAGAGATGTTGAAGAATATTTGAATTATGACATGTGAATGTGCTTTTCCTTATGAATGATACTTTCAAAATTGATGAGATTTTTTTTATCAACTATGGTAATTTTTGAATTACTCAATAAATGCCAAATATGGACATTGCCGGTGAAATTTTATTTCGGCAAGTTTTTAATGCTCAAAACTATTCATGCAAGTTTGACTTTGAAAATGGGAATTGTATTTTGAAATTGATGATTTTCTCACATTTTTGAAAATGGATTTAAAAGAAACTTTATATAGAACACTAGTTGCTAATGGCAGTCCTATTAGTCTTTGGTAAGCCATGGTCAATAGTTAGCTAGTTTGATTTTCGTGAGCTCTGCTCTCACGTCTATTATTCATGAGTCTAATACCTGCATTTTATTTTATGGATTTAAGCCAGGTTTGGTTAGTATTACCATCATAGACTGTGTGTCCACATCTGTTTCATAATTTAGGCTGGGTTTGGTTACTTACCCTCATGGATTATGTGTTCAAGCTTATCTTCGTAGCATAAGCTGCGTTTGGTTAGTTGCTTTTATGGATTGTCTCCATGTTTGTTAATTATTCTATTAAGTCCTCCAGAAACATAATTTTTAAATTATTTGGTGTTACATACTCCATTGGTTTAATTAGTAAATGTTACATATCTATTTATTCTATTTATTTGTCTTCTTGAGATCAAGTGACAAATTTTAAAGTTTGACATTATAAATTTAACAGTTAATATTTTATTTAAGGCTATATAGAATTTTTAAATTTCAAAGTTTATGAAATTGTTGTCTCTTTAAATTTTATGATTATTGTATTTAGTCATTATATCCTTTTAAATTTCATAAACATTGGGATGTTATTCATTAAAAAATATTTTTAGTCTCACATAGTGTAGATGGCTTTGGACTTCCAGATGATCAATGAAGGATATGCTTCTAAACTAGAGTTGAAGCGTCATTTGGCTAAATTTCTAATCGTTGCAGAACATGCATGAATTTATATGTCATACTTTGTATTTTCCAAATTCTATCTTAGCTACTCTATATAGACCATAGTTAGGATCTTCATTTGGTTTTCTATACTGGTTTTTTTTATAGGAGCAGAGCTCCCTATTGTTATCTTGTACTGAAAAATGTTGTTGTAGAATTGTCAAAAATCTTGGTCTCTTCTATGCTAAGCCGAGTTTCCTACCTTAGGCTCAGTCATGACCATAGTCAGTGGCTCAACAGTATTTTGTTCTTCCAAAATATATAACACCTTATGGTGCCAGATATCCCAGTTATTTCCATTTAACTTGTCACCCTTATTCAATTCAGCGATAATGCTTTTTGTTGCCATTCTTAGTTTTAAGATGAAAACAATCCCACATTAATAGTTTTCCATATTAAACTAAGAATAAAATACTTATGAGAAACATACCATGTCTTATATTTGTATTATTCTTTATTAGAGTGATAACAACTATTAGGTCAACGATTAAGAGTCTATGTTTGCATCTTCCATCACATTGATTCTAACAAAATCACTATCGTCTATAAAGAATTTTACAAATATTTGTATAATCATTATATATAGCTCTTAAATGACTTATCACTTTAGAGCTCCCACTCAAACAAAGTATATATAAAACAATAAGAAAATATCAACAAAAAAAATTAACATGCTTCATATATATCATAAATCATTAAGGTCTTAAAACAATACAACATAACTTAACTAAAAAACAAATTCTGGAAAACAAAAAAAAAATACTTAAGGTACAAACCTAAAAAGACAACTCTTAATATGTCTTTATATTTTTCTTGTATTTTCATCCCCTTGATGGCTCTATTCCATAGAGGATTTCCCGAGTACAATTTGTTTTGCTTGTTATGCTGCACAAGTTCTTTTTTGAGTTGTTTGAAAATTTTTCCTACAACCAAGGTTTGTTTTTCTTTTGTTATGAAGCTTGAATATGCTCTTACTATCGAAGAAATTTGATTTGGATTTTTTATTCTTTTAGCTTCTCCTTTTGCTATATTTATGATCACTAAAGGTGTGAAAGGTTGTTCCACATCTTCATCTTCATCTTAAAGATTCTCATCACCTTTTGATTCATATTTTGGCCTCGACAGTATGCACACCTCTTTAAGTCTTTCTGGCACATTTTAGAGATCAACATTGGGATCCTCTTCATGATCAGAATTAGAATCCTCACTTTGAGGTTCATGCTCCTCTTCGAAGGGTTCCGGGTCGTAATCCTCACTAAGAGGCTCATAATCTGATTCATCCAGATACTCAATGCTAATAGAATAATTTTGTGAGTTATCAGTGCTATTAGAAGCCTCTTGCTTCATATTTGCCTAAAAAAATAAAATAAAATTTTTTAGAATTTTTTGTTTTGATTAAACTCATAAAATGCACTAGATAACTCAAAAACCAAATTCTTATTTTGTCTTTAAAATTGGAAAATTATATATCAAAATGAAGATATCAAATTTAGGGATTTTTTAAGACAAATTGTACCTCAATCTAATCCTGCATGTGCCTTGAGAACATCTCTGGATCAAGAAATTATGGAAAAATTAAAAAATAGAATATTTCACTCTCGGAGTGGCGCGTGCACCTCACGCGTCGCCTTCTCGTACTTCGGTGATGACACGTGCTAGTCTATTGCGCTCCATGCACGGACTTCTTTCGAGTAGGGTCAATCACACGCCGACGTAGCCTCCCAATGGGTCCCACACACCACATGTAAAAAATTAATACTATTATTATTTTAAATTTGAATTATATATATTATTTTATTTTTTATTTGGGTCAGGTTTTCTATACCCGACCTGTGGACCCATAACCTAAATGTCAAAAAAATTGTTTTTTTTTTGTTTGGCTTTAGAACCCAAAACTGGTTTTTTTTATAGGTTTCAAAGCTTTTGGGTTTGCTAGCCCAGAAGCAAACTTTTTTTTCATTGAACGATACGTCAAAACAATGTGTCATTTTGATGATGATAATCATTTCTATCATTATCTACATCCAACCAAGCCAACTTGACCTAGTTCCTCTAACGAGTCAGGTTTGTCGGACTCAAAACTTTTAGAGGCCATATCTCCTCCGTCCGGTCTCCTTTTTACACGTTCTTAGTGTCATTTTCTTTATTTTTTTGAGCTCTACACTTTATGCAATCCTTTTGTCCAAAAAACTCAATTTTCAAACACCCATTATTTGGTTTGTTTTCAGTTGTAACGTTCAGCATGTCAGATCACATGTAGAACGTGTATAGCCTTATATGAAACACTTATATCAACCAAGAAGCATATAAACATGTTGATTTGGCGAGAATAATCATAAAGATGGATAAAGGCAGATTATGCGAAAATAGAAGTAAAAAATGGAACTGTTAGATTTGCATGTATATGGTTAAGCAAAACATCATATGTTCTTCAAACATAAGAAATATAGCCTAAAAAAACCTGGCTCTGATACCAATATAAGTTTCTGAGGATGAATATATACCTGTTATGTGTTTTCGAGTGATTTACTGAATGTGTGAACAAAGTTATGGACTGAACTTGGTTCTTAGACTCGCAACAAATGCACGTAGAGAGGATGAGAATAAAGGAAACTAAGAGAGCGAGTTACTGACTTCTGTTCGTTAACCAAAAAACTGAGAGAACTACCACCCATAAGTGAACACAAATACGAGAACGTGCATATATGGTTATCTCAACCGTTCCCTCTCAAATTCAAAAGTTAAAAATGCAAAAGGGAGGAAATTACATTTGAGGACCTAAGCACATTGAACCCAAGCATTTCTCATAATTGTGACAAAAATCCATTCCTCAATTTTGGGCTTATATATGGGCCTGATCCACTAAGGGTAGATAACCCAACAGCTCCAAAAAAAAGTTTAAAATACTAGGTGCTTCTTGCAAAAAAGTTTTAGAGCATTTTTGCAATTTAACCCTTATTTTAATCTCCAATAGCTTTAGCTCTCTTTTGTGAGGTGCTTTTTTTCCCTGTTAATTCAGACTCATTTATCAGTCTTGCGTTTAATGAAAGCAAGGAGGACTAATGATCACGGACCTATTTAATTAAGCAAGCATTTGGAAGTTCATTTTCTTCAAATCTACTCCAATCCAGATGAATATGCACAGTTCCACTTTAAATACTTAACGACTATTAGAAAAATTGATCAATTCAATATTTCAATTTTTTAACAGATTAAATCAAAAGTAGCTCAAGTTTTTTTCATGTGACTTGAGGCTTTTTTGTTTAGTTGTCTTTCACTCAGTATATGCTTTGCAATTTCAGTTTCTTCTTCCTTCTTTTCCAATTCGGTATCACAGTCGATCACTTCAACCGCCAGAGCAGGAAATACATTCATTGTTCATACTCACAAATTCTCTGTCCAAAGAATTAAGCCATGGAACCACCTTCATCGAAACGCTTACGAATGCACATATAAGATTCGCTTGGGCACCTTCATTTCTCAAGCCATTCTTGGGTTTTGACCAAGAGAGAATCCCCTTGCATGGAGAATCATATTTTCCAGCTAATTTATTATTTTATGTTACAACGTACTATAATATTATAACTTATATGTGGAATATAGTTAACCTTTTTCAATTTTAATTATTAGTTCAAATTTTATTTAATTAAAAATAGCCACTTCAAATTTAACGGGAAAAAAAAATCACTTTACCACTGCCTTTGGGTCAACGATCCTTGATTCATTGTCTCACTTGCTCATAAGAAAATTAACACTAATTTTACTTATGAAAAATAAATCATGGGCTTCTACAGTATATTTTTTAGAAAAAATATAATTATTTTTTAGACTAAGGGGGTTCTTGGCTCGACTTGTCTAGGTAGTTGCATAAGCTTATCTTGGATCTTGAAGGGCTCGAGTTTAAGGTATGAAGCTGTGTTAAATAAAAATGCTGAAGGCATTTCCAAGGTATCAACAGTGAGAGGTCACCATTGATTTTGGTGCTTTGAATGTGATTATGCACATATGCAATGTATAGATAAATTGATATATGTGTTGAGTAGTGGTTGTCAACTATATTTCTTTGCCAATTGATGTTGAAAAGTTATATATGCTTGTATTGATGTAGTGATATTTTTTTAGTGATAACATGTGTCACACTAAAAAAAAAAAATGACTTTCAACCACGAATCTAAAAAATCGTCGTTGAAAATGAACAATCTACAAAATTTGACTTTCTGTGACAACATTCAAAGTCACCACAAAAATGGTAACTTTCTATGGTGACAATATATAATCACCACTGATTGTCAAACTTTCAGTAGTGACAAGTGCATGTCGTCACCAAAGGTCTAAGTTTCAGCAACAACATATAAATTACTATTGAAAGTTCACAATCAATGACGACGTGTGAGAATTGTTGAGACTTGTGATGCTAATAGCATGTCTCTAAAGAAAAATTTGTTGAGGTAGCATTTGGATTAATAGATTTAGATTTGAATTTTAGATTTGAAATCTTGTATTTTAAGTCTCACATTTAAAATTCATGCATTTAAAATTCTTTGTTTGACTAGTTTAAAAAATTTCAAATGAAGAAGAGGACGAGATGTTTAGAGTGATTAGAATTTTAAATGACTAGGGTGTGGAAGAAATTTGAAATTATAAAGAAATTATAATTTGAAATGGATTTGGATTTGAATTAAATCTAAATTCATAAATTTTTATGTATCCACATGACAAATTTGGTTCAAATCCAAATTAAATCCCCATTAATCCAAACACACCATTACGTGTTTCTATGATTGTAAAATACTCCTTGAGAAATGAAAATTAATCATTTTTCAAAATAGAATCATTCCAATCAAATAAACCTTGTGGTTACAAAGTGGTGTTTTTCTTTTGGGCAAAACTGCATTAGAAAGTTTCAAATAAATGTCCTTTCCTTGACGATGGTTTCCAAAGCTTTAAACTGAGCCAAGGATCACCTAAATACAATATTGTCTAAGGTTTAGTTTATGAATTTATAAAGTTACCATAAAATATTAAAGCCAACAAATAGATAGTAATTAAAAATGTTATATTTTTTAATAACATCTTATTAAAATATTATAATTTAATATTTAATAACTTCAGTATTATTATTACTTACAAATCTTTTACGCATAATTTTCAAGTCAACTTTGCTCAACAGCAATAGCATACGCACCTACGCTGCTGACCTTGAAGAAGGAGAAAGAGGGAGGAGAAAACGAATATGGCAGAGGTATGCTTCTGGTTTAGACTCTCTCTCTCTCTCTCTCTCTCTCTCTCTCTCTCTCTCGCGATGATTCTTGAAAAATCGGTGAATGTAGAATAGAGAAGGAGAAGACAGCAAGATGTGTTTTGAACCTCTATTATTACTATTATTTTATTCAGAAGGGTATTACTGTAATTTAACCTTAGGCTGAAACAAAAAGATAAAAATCCCACTTTTGGCTTCATGTGAGTTCAAACACAACACCTATCAAATGTGTAACTCACATAGAGTGCACTAGACCATCATTTGTATTGATATATCTACTCCAAAATCAATAAAAATATAATCAAAATCACTTAACACAAATTTTTATTATTATTAATTTAGATTTTTTAACCAAATTTCTGGGTTATTACATGTGGTGATGCATTTGCAAGTCCCTTTTGGATATTCAAAGTGGGGCATGCATTTTTGGATGGTTTGAATTTATTTAATTTTTAATTTTTGGAAAATATAGTAAACATACACAAGATTGATATAATTTAGAATTGTATCACATTAGTCATAAATTTTTAAATTAAGTTTGTCACATATATGCAAATTTGTATGCGCCGCATATATAGGAGAAAATGTAAAGGAATTTTTATTGATAACATAAATGTGATGTAGTGCCAAAACTGTAGTGCTTTTCATAAATGTGTAGTCATAATTTGAAGCGTCAATTGATAGTCTCTTCTGTAGCTGCTATTATTTGGACCTAATAATTACTTTCTAATTATCTTCAAAGAAGAGGAGGAAGAAAGAAATGCATAATAGAATGATGCTCAATAATGCATATCCCAGCATATGGGGAGTATTCTTCAATGGCCAACCACGTCCTCACAAAATTCTTTAGGCATGCACATCATATAATATATATCTTAATCTATATCTTATAAAAAGTCATTTGGAGAATATGACTCAAATCATGAAGAGATGACAGAAAAAATTATTTAATTACTCAAACATAATACAATTTAAGTGGGTTTTCCTCTAATAACAGGATATGTTTCTGAAAGTATAAGCAAAGGGCATATAGAGAAGAATAAGAAAAATGTAGGGCTCACATTGATTGATTTAAAAAACATTTTCTTACAAAATCAAATCCAAACTGTATAGAATTACTTGAAGAAAATGAATGGACTTTGGGGTATTAGTATTCAAACCCCTAGTGTTAAAAGAGAAAAGAAACGACATGAAGAAATCCAAAAGTCAAATAATCAAGAAAATTTCAAATACTTTGTATATTATTACAGCACATGGAATTACTCCAATTTGCAAGATTACTTGTTCCACAAGGAAATCTAAGGTTTGAAGAAATAATAGCTAAATTTTGATTTAACTTATTAGGAAAAATATAACTTTGAGTCCCTGCATTTTGCTTGAGTTTTGCATTAGGTTCCTGCACTTTTTTTTGGGCGTTCTAGGTCCATACACTTTTACTATTTTTTTTTGGTGTTTTGAGTCCTTATAAACCACTCATGGAGAACCTTAGAATACAAACAAAAATGTAGGGACGTAGAACACCAAAAAAAAGTACAGAGACCTATGGCAAAACTCAAGCAAAGTACAGGGATTGAAAGTTATATTTTCCCTAACTATTATTCAACTAGTAGGGTTCCTAACATTTTCTTGAAATGAAGCCTTAATTTTGTTCAATGATACAACAACATCAGTCATAGTAAGTTGTGCCTCAGGTAAATCAATGCGACAATTTAATGCTAACTCAAAAACTAATAATATATGTGATAATATATTATTAGTATTTTGATTTTCTTTGTGCAGTAAATTGGCATCTATAATGTTGATGATTGAATGTGGTGCTGATTTTCTCACCCAATCTTTCAAACTTAATCCTTGAACAAACATCTCATCTGTTGGCTTCTTCCTTGTAAAGATTTCCATTAGCAAAATACCATAACTATACACATCTCCTTTGATAGAAACAGCTCCTTTCGATCCATACTCTATTATGCCAATTTGAAAAATTAGTATAAAAGTCATAATGTCAAAAACTTACTATAAGATGTGGTCAAACATTTCTTTTGTATCGTCAATTCAAATATTTACACATGAAGACATACAAATCAAATAATATAAAATTTTATATAGCATAACAAACAAAAGAACATATAAATAAATCCAATAAATATTATTAAACCATTACCTAGTGCCATATAGCCAATTGTAGCCAAAGTTTTGGTATAAATTTCCAATTGTCCTTCACCAAACAATTTAGCAATACCAAAATCACTAAGATAAGCTACCATATCTTCATCCAACAAAACATTGCTTGGTTTCACATCACAGTGAACAACTAGGGTCGAAGAATTGTGATGAAGATACTCTAGAGCAACTGCCACATCAATCACTATGTTCAACCTTTGCAAGATATTTAAATAATAGTTATGTGAGTATAACCATTTGTCTAGACTCCTATTTTCCATGAATTCCATTATTAAAGATTTGAAATGATCATTTGAGCAACAAGTGATAACCTTAATGAGATTGCGATGGCGTAAATTGCATATGGCAGCACATTCAATGTCAAAGCTTCTTAATGCTTCTTCCATTTCTAACTTAAACACTTTGATAGCAACTATTTTTGAGTTTAGAAGAGTTGCTTTGTATACTAATCCAAAACTTCCAGAGCTCAGAAGATTACTCTCATCAAATCCATTTGTTCCTTGCCAAAGCTCATAATAGGATATCCTAGTTGGTGTCTCAAAATTTATTAAATCCTTGTTGGTTGAATCATTAACATGATCTCTCTTACACTTTAGAAAGACAATGCCTAAAACCAAAATGGCAATCATGCATATGATAGGCAATGAGCACGTTATCAATAGCTTCAATTTATTTGACATGTGCTTGTGTTCTTTCCTACATGGGTGCACTTGTAATTGTGACTTTCTGCAAAGATCATTATTCATCATAAAAGATTCAGCAGTAAAATTTTGAAAAGGCCCCCTACTTGGAATTTCTCCATGCAATAAATTATAAGAAAGATTAATGTGTTGAAGATGGACTAATAACTCTAAAGATTTTGGAATCACACCAGACAAATAATTATGGAAAAGATCCAAAGACTCTATACTTGTCATGCCACCAAGAGATTCAGGAATATGCCCTTGTAATTTGTTTTGGGCCAAAGATAGGGTTTGCAAAGTTTGCAAACTACTTATAGTTGTAGGGATGCTTCTTGAAATTTGATTTCTTGACAAATTCAATAGTATAATTGTTCTCAAGTTTGATACCTCTAGTGAAATTATTCCACTAAATGCATTGGAGGATATGTCTAAGACCAAGATATCTTTGAGACTCCAAAGATAAGAGGGTATATGAGAAATCAATTTGTTAGAGCTAAAATCCAACTTCCGTAGAGAAGTATTCCCGAAGCATCTTGGAACTGCTCCTGAAAACATGTTGTTGGCAAGATACAACTCACTTAGACTTTTGAGTTGACAAAGCTCATTTATGATGAACCCATACAATCTGTTACTACTGAGGCTTAAGCGTTGAAGACCATGTAATTTGTTAACTGTATCAGGAATTAACCCACTCAAATCATTCCCATCCAAATCTAATTCCATCAAGTTTGTTAAATTTCCAAGTACATTGGGTATATCTCTGCTAAATTTATTCAATGACAAATCTAACGTAATGAGCATAGAAGCATTTGATATGCTACTTGGAATTTGTCCAATTAGTTCATTCTCCTCTAGTAATAATTCCTTCAAGTTGGGAATGCCAACTCCTAAATCTAATGGCAGAGGGCCAGAGAAAAAATTAGCACCAAGGCTCAAGCGTGTCAACATTGAAATGTTGAATATATTGGAAGGAATTTGTCCTTTCAAATGATTTTGGATCAGCTCTAAACGATTAAGGTTCTCAAGTTCACCTATGCCTCTAGGTACAAAACCTGGACATGAGAAAGGTGATGGAAATCAGTCTTTTATATAGATAGGATAAGAGAATTAAAAAAATAAAATTTATTTTTATTATTTTTTTCCCTTTCTAAAATTTTTAAAATAGAAAATTAGGGAAATCATAAATTACCCTTGAGATGCCATGTTTATAAAATATTTATTATAGAAATAAAATTTTTTGTGTTGTAATTGTCGATTAATTATTTAATAGGAAATAATAAATTTGTAAAATAAAAAGAAGTAAAAATTAAATTAAATTGGGAAATGATGTATTCTTTAATTAATAAAAGGAAGAGGAAAAAATAGTGTTGAAGTTGATAGGAAAGTGACAAAATCTGCACACGCAAATATATATAATAGGGAGAATCACATTCAGCACCCTCCCAAAATTTTTTTATCACAAATAACGACCAACAACAAGTCTCATTCGAAAAAAAAGTCATGTTCCTATTTTAACAACAATCCATTCTATATTGATCCTTATCTGTGATTAATTTCCTTGAAAAGGGGCTGGATGTGATTTTCCCTATATAATATGTGGGCATGCTGTGATTCGAAGAAAGAGAATTACGAGAAAAATTATATTTTCTCTTGCTCAGTTTGAAATTATAAATTTGCAAAAAAAAATTGATAAAAAGGTTAAATAGATAACAAATTTAATCTTGTACAAGGGGAGAGGAAGAAAACGTAAAATTAAAGTTATTAAGAGAAAGATGAAATGTTAAAAAGTAGTAGTCACATAAAACATGTGGACCCATTATGTATGGTTTGAACTTAGAGTTTTTTTTTTTTTTTGGGAAAATCATATTGAAATCCCATTTATAGATCCTAATTTCTTTATTAAAAAAAACACATGAAATGTCTAAATGACTCCAAAATTTAAAAGACTTTAATTGTAATTAATTTTTAATGTTGATTTACTAAAATATCCTTATTCCTTCGAAGCCCCTCCAACTTCTGCCATAACTGAAACCACCAAGAACCTCGTCAGAATCGCACCCACCACCGTCTTCATCTACAATTAAGAGTGCTTGCAAAGATAGAAGGAATTTAGCATTATCCATCTCTCTCTTCAAGGAGTGTTATTATTTTTCTCCTTCTCCCTCCTCTCATCTCAGTACTGTAATTGCTAAGCAACTTATCGTCGGCTGTTTTGGATGGTAGAGGAGGAGGAAGTGGCGGCGGCGGCATTGGTATGTCTTCTATCACCGGCGCAAGAAAGAGGAAAAATCTCGGAGACAGTGCATCTTCACTAGAGTCGTCGTTGGAGGCAACTATGCTGAGGTTTGATCTTCGGAGCTAGTGCCGCCGCAACCTTTGACAGAGAAGATGCCAGCGATACCAATTTGGGAGATAAAAAGGGTTGTGGGTGCGAATGGTTGGAAGGAGAGAGAGAAATTGCAGAAGGAATAAGGATATTTTGGTAAATCAACTTTAAAAATTAAGTACATCTACGGGATTTTGGGGTTAGACATTTCATGACACATTTTAGAAATTAGAATCTATATGTGAGACTTCTGAATTATTTTCCCTTTTTTTGGTTTAACTAAATAGAATATGAATGATGTGGAATTTGAAATTTTTGAATAATTATTTTATAGAAATTAAGAAATTTGTGAAATGAAAAATAAACTTTTGAAAAAATTAAATAAAAAATTAGACAGGCACATTATATTTGATGTGGAGTTTTTTGATTGATCAAATTAGTATAAATGATGGAGTAGTCCCATTAATTCATGATCTTATCTTTATATTATTGTGGGATTGTAATCACAAGTTAAATGCCTATATATAAGTCCTATTGTATTGATGAACAATATTGATGAATGAAATGATTAAAAAATTAAATCTCATTTTAATTTCTCACTTCTAGAAAGAGTGATCTAAGAGGGGGAAGAAGAGAAAATCATTGACCACCATCAATTAATGATATGATCTATTGTTTTTTTGGGATTGTTAGTCACTAGCTATATTAAGTCCCCACTTCGTGCTTATAAAAAGAATACACACTTATAATATTAATGAAATGACGAAAAACAAAATCTCATTTTAAATTTATTCTATGAGACAAAAAAATTAAAAACCAAGAAAATAATAAATAAAAGATATAATAATCTCATGCTTGTAAAGAAGTTGGAATCCAAATATAATTTATAAGCATCAACTCTAATAAAAAGACTGAATGCACTTGTAAAAAGAAAAATAAAACAGCTCATAATTTTTGCATAAAATATACATAAGATACATATATCATATAAAAGTGGTAGGTAATAACATTTTCATAACAGTGCGGATTTTAAATTAAAAGAGAAATAAAACAGGTAATATAACTTTGCATATAATATACATATATACTATAACAAAAAACGACACATCTCTTGCTAATTCCAGAAATTTGAATATTTGTGTCTTATTAATTAAGCATGTGTGGCAAAAAGCATTAAACTACCTTAATTTTTCGGTTTGGTATAGTTGAAGTGAGAAATTATCAAGTATACTTTTCTCAACAGAAAAAAAGGTTCCACATCATATATAATGAGTCACATGTTTTGTGTGTGTGTATTTTGGATACGTATTTTAATTATAAATTAAACAATTGTTCAAAAATTATTATATGAAAAATTTTAATTTGAATATTATTATTTAATTTCGAAGGAACATGTAGAATAGTTCCCTTTTAAAACCAAACGCATTAAAATGAAGCACTCTAATTGTTTGTCTGACTATTTAAAATATCCCGTATTCAGGTTCATTAGTTTTATGCTTTCAGCTCAAATATGGTTGAACTAGTGTTTTTGGGTGGCATTTAAATTTTTTATTTACTTTCATTATTACAATTCGTAATTGATTTCTCATACATATTTAAATATTTTTTTTACCGACAAATATTTTTTGTTTATATATAATGAATAAGAAAAATATAATCCCAAACTTGTCTGTATTTTGATGTTATGTAATATAAAACTTACTCTATCATACAAAAATTATCAAATATTATTAAATCTAGTATGTTCAAGAATAAGTCTAAAAATTATGTTAAATATAATAAAAATAATTTTAAGTAATACTCGTTTCAGCCACAGAAGATTTAATGAATTTGCAAGATAAAAATATTGAAAAAAATTAAATGGATAATTTAAACAGATAAAGAATGTCTCTTCAATAGGGGGAGAAAAAAAATATAAAATTAAAGTTATTTGGAGACCCATAAAATTTTAGAACGAAAGTAATGGAATTTTAGATTTACCCCATTTCAATATGAATGAACAACAAGAAATTATGAGTGAAATGATGAAAAACAAAATCCTATTTTAGATTCACTCCATTCAAAAAAGAGATTAAAAAAATGGAAACATAAATATAAGTACACTATACATACCTATAAATGAGTTACCACCCAAAAACAATTCCTTTAAAGATGTGCAATTACTTATTGATTTTGGAATGCTTCCCTCTAATTGATTAATAGCAACATCAAAGTTTTCAAGTAAAGGGAGTTGATGGCACAATTCTTCAGGCAAATTACCATTTAAATGATTCGCACCAAAGCTAACCTCTCTCAATGAAGACATGTTCCAAATAAATGAAGGAATTCCACCTAAACAAAGAGCAAAATGTTTGTTTGTTGTTAGTGCGCATAAGACTGGCAATTCCCCAAATTCTGACACAGTGATATAAATAATACATGGAAATTTGTTAATTAGAGGATTAACATTAATAAAAAAATATACAATAACCTTTTTTGGCAACTCCCTCACGTAAACATTAAATGGATTTTTGCAAGAGCCATGTGTGCTACAACTTTTCTTGACATAAAAATTCGAAGCTAATTGTTAAGAAAAATGAATTGCATTAAAATGTATAAGTATACGATAACTTTTACTCTTACAGTGGTTTCATTAAAATTTTTTGCCAACAGTATAGAATAATAAGCATAATAATAAATGAGAAGGTTTTTAAAGAATAAAAGTAACGGATGGGCAGATTGAGCATACCTGTGAAGGAGTTGTGCTGTAGGTGTAATAATTCTACCAACGTCTCATTGCCGGTTAGTTTTGGACGAATACCATTCAAATTGTTTTCTGCTAAACCCACAATTCTTGGAGAAGAAATGCTAAAGAGAGACAATGGAATTTCACCTGTTTCAATTTAAAAGTGAACAACTAAAATTACATTAAAGTAAGATATAATAGTTACAAGACTCTAATCAATCCTTTAGCACTAAATTGATCTTGGAGAGAATAAAGCAAGATAATGACAGAATGAAACAAGAAAGTTATATGAGATTATATTAATTGATGGCCATTTTCTAGGGGTCAAAAAATTAATCTAACAATGATAAATATAATAAACACGTACGCATACATAAATATTTCCACCAAGCCTTCCCCAATTAGATTATTTCTATCAACAGAGTTTGCACCCATCGCCAAAAAACGAAAACACACAGAAGATTTCTTTCTTGTTGATTATGATATATTGATTGTCATAAGTAAAAATAAATAATAAAAAGTCAATATTTTAATATATAATTGGTACTGTCCATTACGTTGGATATGAGGTTAAATCAAATAATAATGTTTGTCATGAAAATATTACCATATGTCTCTTCGTTTTCGTATTTGTAAGGAATTAAATAATTCATAAAAACTACACACCCAAATGAAAAGTGTTGGGCAACATCTAAATAGTTTGATAGCAAAATTAAACATCCTATCTTAGAATATTAATAGTGAATGTATATTAAAAAATATTTCAATATTCATGAATGTGTATGAACATATCATGGATACAATTAAACTTAAAACATTTCATTTGATAAAAAAAAAGTAAAAAACATTCCAATTATCACTTGGTATATATGCTCTATTGAAGCCATAAAATTACCCGACAAATCATTTTTATACACATTAAATAATTCAAATTTTGGAAGCCCAAAACAAATATTTTTTTAGGAGAATATCAAATAAATTTATATTTTTTAGAACATCATTGAAGTCTTGCTCACAGTGAGAAATAACACTAATAATCTAATTAACTGATGATATAGAGAACCAATTACTTTTTAAAAGCGACGAACCCTAATTGGCGGGACCAATAACCACAGAATAAAGTAGTTTTCATGTATGGGATGTGAGTGTGTCTTTTAATGTGATTCATTGAGAAATTTAGATCAATTGTCTATATTTGTATATTAAAAAGGAAAGAAAACTCCCCTTTAAAATGAAAACACAGGGGACCGAAAATGAGAAATAAAAGAGAAAGAGAGAAGCATCAAAGCCCATGAGTCGATCTTTTCTATAATCTCTATAAGATATTAAGATTAGATTGTCATTGAGAAAACAAATAACCAAAATTAATCATTCTTAGAAGCTTATCACACATATGCTATAAAATCTTTACAAATATATAATCTTTTAAAGATATCTAGTTACTTAGTTGCATTGAATGTTTTTCACAAATTGATTCAATATTTAGCTTCTCTATTTCAAGATTTTTTTTCCTTTAAAAAATTGTGCCCCCACCATTGCATGAGTGTGTGCTGTAAAAAAAAATTATATGAACATACAAAATGAACGAAACGATGAAAAGCAAAATTGTGCCCCTACCATAACATGAGTGTGTCATAGAAAATGCAATCATATAACTGCATACCTGTCCACAAAATTTCCTCGAAAGCATAAAATTAAGGGATGGGTGCATTAGCCATAAATTGTTTGTTGCTATCAATTTCTATTGAAGAACTGTTAAAGAAAGATGATAGAATTTCACTTATATTTTACATTAAAGTGAGTATGTAGTTGGAAGCTCTCACAATTCTCTAACACTGAATAGGTATAGGTATCATAAAAAGAATAAAAATAAGATATAATAGTAGAATGAAATACGAAAAGCTTTATGAAATCATATCAATTCGCTTGCAATATTCCAAGAGTTCAAAACAAATATGATGCGAATGTAGTAGAGAGAATAAAAAAATAACTTTTTTATATGAGAACTGGATGTATTATCAAAATTACTTTGCCACAGTAGTCTTCCACTATAGAGTAGACCTAGATTCCTCTACATTATCCTTGAAGGATTATATCTAGCATACCATATAAATTAGCTTGGAACAAAGACAATTATAGATATTTAAGGAATCTAAAATACTTTCTGAAATATCTCTTTTGACAAATTGTTATAAGACA